TAATAATAATAATAATAATAATAATAATAATAATAATAACATACAATCCTCATAACAAGTCTTAAAAGTATTAAATTGACTTACATTCAATTCAAAATTGAAGTTTAATTTATGCCTAATATAATATAATGTAATATAATATAGTATAATATAGAATAACAATCAAACAATGTAATAATAAGAATAGCTCAATAAAAATGCAATAAACAACGGCTAAGAGTTTAACATATCTCGTTTTAACTTAAGTTTAAATGTATTTTCTATTTTGCAGTCCCGGAGCTCAATTGGTAAATTATTATAAAAATTAGGACAAAGATAACTAAAAGCACGTTTAAAACATTCCAAATTGACTTTGGGACAAGCTAAGTCACCTCTGGTTGAAGCTCGCGTTCTTATAGCTCGGTCAGGGACTCTAGAAATTTTCTCCACAAGGTAACTAGGAGCAAAGTTGTTGATAACTTTAAAGGTAAGGCAGCCGACCTGGTATCGCACCCTTTGCGATACACACATTAAGTTGAGTGTGGATAGAAGTGTGTTAGTTGAAGTGCGTGGAGGTGCTTTAATTATGATTCTCATGGCCCGATTTTGCAATTTCTGAATTTTGTCGGTGTTATGCAAGCTGTTTGTACCCCACAAGAGGGCACCGTAGTCAATATGTGGGAGAATTAGTGTATCATAGAATAAGGGTGCTGTGCGAGAGTCAATAAATTTTCTTATTCTGGCTAAAATGTGAATTTTATGTGCAAGTTTGGAGCAAAGTTTGCTGACATGTGAATGCCAGTCAAGCTATTGTCAATATAAACACCAAGGTGCTTGTGCATTGTGACTTTTTTAATCCGTTTGCCACCAAAAGATACGTCAATTTCTTTATTTTTTAGCCGCTGAGGTGTGCCAATTAACATCACTTCAGTTTTGTCAATGTTAAGAGTTAGTCTATTGGAAATAAGCCAGGTATGGATAATGTCTATGTCTTCAGATAACCTGTTGTTAATAATATCAATGTTAGAGTGAGAATAATAAAGTGAGGTGTCATCAGCATAGAGGTCAATAGTGCTGTGTTTAGTAGCAAGGGGCAAGTCGTTAATAAAAATAGTAAATAAAAGTGGGTCCAGAATGGACCCTTGAGGAATACCATACTTAACAGTGCGGAAATCAGAATAGGTGCTCTTGAATTTGACAGTTTGTGTGCGGTTATGAAGATAAGAGGAAAACTAAATGTTGGCAGAAGGGAGTACACCATACCGGGACAATTTATCAAGAAGGACTTTATGGTTGACAGTGTCAAACGCCTTACGTAGATCTATAAAAACCGCCCCAGTAAGACGTCCACCATTCATGCCGTCCAGCCAGTTATTATAGGTATTTGTGAGCGCAGTAATAGTAGAATAAGTTTTCCGGAATCCGGATTGGTTAGGGGACAATAACTTATTAGTAGTAAAATAGTTATAAAGTTGGGTATGGACAGCCCTTTCGAAAATTTTAGAAAGGATCGGGAGCACAGATATTGGACGATAGTTGTTCACGTCACTTTTAGACCTCCCTTGTGGATTGGTACCACTTTGGCAACTTTCAAATCGGCGGGGAAACATCCATTTATTAAAGACAAGTTACATATGTGTGTCAAATAAGGTGCGATAGCAGGGGCCGCCAGCTTCAATAGTTTGATAGGATGGCAGTTAATGTCAATCGACGTTCCAGAGTCCATGCCCAGTAGCTGATCAAGAACAAACTCGCTTGCAGCCTCATGAAAGGAAAAGAAAGATAAAGGTAGGTCAATATAAGAACAAGGATCAATGTTATTCAAATCAAGTGCACAGTCTAATTTAAAAGGAATGTTTACAAAAAAAAATCATTAAAAGCATTACTTATTTCCTGTTCATTAGTTAACGTACTATCGTTGACTGTAATTGATGAAGGTAAAACATTTATATTAGAAGAAATAAGATTATTAAGACCGCGCCACATTTGTTTACTATCATTGGCAGAATCAATTATATGTCTTCTGTAATAACCTTTTTTTCGCTTTGTTGCAGAGCTTAGTAACAAGATATTTACAGTTTCGTGCTTCAAGTCATAGTTCATCACGACCTGTCGATTTGGCACGAACCTTAAGTCTATCTCGTCTGTGCATAAGTGAGAGAATGTCATCCCTATCCTTGAGCCATTCTGGAAGTTTCCTCTTAAAACGCTTGGTGGTTAGTGGTGCATGTTTGTCTATGACAATTTTCATGAAATTATGTAGAATTTTCAGGCAAATGTCAACATCGCTTATCTGTGTGATAGTTGACCAAGGTAGTTTATCTACATCTTGTAGAAATTGTTCTTCATTAAAATTGCGAAAGTTACGAAATGTTCTTTGGTCATGTTCATTTTTATATGGTTTAAGTTTCAGTGAGGTAAAAATAAAATCATGATCGCTAAGAAAAGATTGAATTACAAAAGTGTTTTGGTGCAGGCGAGTATTTGTTGTCAGGATCAGATTATTCAAAGATTGACCGTCGTCAGTGGTGCGAGTTGGAGAAGGCACTATTTGAGTAAGACGAAAGAGATCCATTTTATCCTGCAGATTGTTGCGATTTGAGTGGGATTTCAAAAAATCAATATTAAAATCACCCAAAATTATTAAGTCTCTTGCAACACAGTAAGTATTTTAAAAGTTTTCAAAATTTTCAAAAAAAATTGCAGGTGTATTTGGAGGTCTGTACACAGTTGTTATACGAACAGGAAAAGTTGTCACATTGATTTCAATCATCAGTGATTCGAGTACATCATTAAATTCATCACTGATGGGTATTTCACTGTAAATGACGTTATTGGCAATGTACATGGCCACACCTCCACCGTGTCTATTCCTGTCCTTCCTTAGAAGTGTGTATCCAGAAATATTAACTTCTATATCGGGGATAACCGGTGATAGTTTCGACTTGGACACGGTGAGTATGTGGACCGGAGTATTATGGATCAGGAGGCGGAGCTGATCAATTTTATCAGAAAGGCTGTTGATGTTTATGTGAGCAACTTTCAATCCTTTGCATTTTTTAATCGCCTCAAAACGTTTGTTATTTTGATTAATATCGTCATTTTCAGGGCCTGGATTAGGGTGGACATCACCCGACAAGCTAATCTGAGCGATTGAGTTGGAGTTTGCGTACCGTAAATACGGTGCGCTGTATCGCTTCGGCCTACCAGCTTGATTGATTACGACCAGTCGACGTTGTTGAATGTGCATAACAATGCAAACAGGTGCAATAACTCGTAGTTTGACCGATGTTCCATTATAAACATGTATATTGTAAAATACTTTAGATAGATAATAAATACATTTCGGAAATAAATCCACGTCATAGTAATTCCTACATATAAGATATACTGCGTCAAAATTAAAATATATAGTCAAGTTCAACCTACATTTGCACGACTCATGTTTAAGTCCAATGAGACGCCCCTGGCTTTGTAGATCGCCCGTGTCGCGTGAGAGATCTCCCGTGTCGCGATCGCCCGTGTCGGTGTCGCGTGAGAAAAAAAACAGCGGATTCTGGCTTAGCCGAGTGTCCATATAAAACACACGATTAATATCCAATATTACTCGGTTTTCATTGTAATTCGAGTAACATTTGCCAGTGTTAGGCACAACATAAAACAAAAACGTACTAATAGGTAATAGGAAGGTTATTTGTACCAACAAGATCATAATCTTCATCCTCAGTTCGTTTCGATCGTGTGTGGTACGTGTGTCCTATTTTTAGTTCCTATCCTGTTCCTATTCTGTAAATTTATATATTTAAGTTATTACCTGTGGGTTTTTTTAATCTATTTATTGGATTTCCTTTCGCATCAGGGGTGGTGCCAGCTGGAAAGAGGGAGGTCAGGCCCTCCAGTCAGGGAGAGCTCCCCCCCCCCCCCCTCGCGTGTCGGGGAGAAAAAACACAATTGTCATATTTTTCGGGGCTTCGCCCCCGGAACCCATTTGAGCGGTTTTGAGCGACGCTCGACCACGCCAATCTTCATCCTCAGTTCGTTTCGATCGTGTGTGGTACGTGTGTCCTATTTTTAGTTCCTATCCTGTAAATTTATATATTTAAGTTATTACCTGTGGGTTTTTTTAATCTATTTATTGGATTTCCTTTCGCATCAGGGGTGGTGCCAGCTGGAAAGAGGGAGGTCAGGCCCTCCAGTCAGGGAGAGCTCCCCCCCCCCCCTCGCGTGTCGGGGAGAAAAAACACAATTGTCATATTTTTCGGGGCTTCGCCCCCGGAACCCATTTGAGCGGTTTTGAGCGACGCTCGACCACGCCCACCTTTTTTTCGTCGGGGAATTCGGCCCACCCCACGTGGGGCAAATCCTGGCGCCACCCCTGTTTCGCATTGATAAAACGACAATACAGAAATTACCATATGTGTGCTGGTAAATTGTCATATTAAGTTGGTTGATCGAAGCACCACTATCCATGTGAAATTTAGCTCCTGTTGTCTCTGACTGTGGATCTAAGAAAGTATAAAGCAATTTATTTATAATGTATTGTAATTTTATTATTATGATTAAGTTACGATAATGTAAGGGCATAATATTAAAAATATCAATGATGCAAGAGTTGCAAATAATACAAATTAAATGAAACTAAAAAATTGAATAAATTCAACCTGAATTATTGATGCAGCATTACAGAATGTATGTAGTCGTAAAGAATAAGAATGCCAAAATGAATTGGTTTAAGTATAGTGTCATCTTCCGTGATATTAGTTGCAGCAGCAACATGGCAGACGCTACGCGTCTTAAACTGTGGTGGTCGACCCGTTTCCTATCATTTACCTTATGTCTACCCCTCATGTTATACTCCTACCATCCTACTTTTGGAGTTCTCAGGAGGTCGGTTTTTTCCACCAGTACCATAGGGCTTAGCTCGACACAGCAACACAGGAGCGCAGAGAAATAAATTGCAATGTGTAGTGTTTCTTTGTTATTTTTAAATTGAATCGTAGACCTAAGGATAATGTCTGTTTTTTCTTCTTATTTTTTCGTTTGTAATTTCAATTCTAAATTAAAAACAATCTATGCTACCATTTTTGCTGTGAACAACAGCGCTGACATTTAAGTTACCAACTTCACTCTCTGCCATGTTTACCGATACTCCTGTTTCAGACCTCACTGGTTGTGGATCTATAAAATAATAAAACGTAATTAAGAAGCAGAAGGAAATCCTATTGTTTTGTATAATAATTTATAATTATTGCAGTTAAACCTTATTGGTGAGTTGATATGATTTTTAAAACTCTAAAAGAAATAAGAGGACACTTAATGATAATTGACAGTAATAACATACTCGAACGTTCTTTTTTTTTTCTTTTTTTTAACTAATCAAACTTTGTAAAGTAACTGGCGGGAACTTTGTATGTAACACTTACATACCTTCTTTGCCTGGTTTCTTACAATATGTCGTTTGGTCCTCCATCGCCGCAGTTCTATTCATATCACACAATTTGTCAGTCATGCTCCAGGTACTCAAATGACCTTAATTCAATTTGATAGACATCTTATAAAGAGTCTACGTGGAAACAAGGAATACAACAATCGCCATTACCGTAAATTTCTATTGTTTCTTTTCAATGCTATTTACGTAGTAGCCAACGCTCACTGGAATATATATATATATATATTGGCAAATATAATTTTATATATGCCCAACTAATAATAGTGTATTTGAATCGGTTAATTTCCAATATTCTATTATTTGTAGGCCTAAATTTTAGATACTTTAAACATTTTGATATTTATTATTATTATTATTATTATTATTATTATTATAAAGTCACTACAAATATTGCATAATGATAAGGTATTTAAAGAAGATTAGACATTTTACTTGTCTAAAAAGAAAATTCACGTTTATAAAACATCGTCAAAGATAAATAATTATATGAATTAAAATATAAATTGAAATAATTATATATTGCTAATTTGCATATAAAAGACAGGTTGCTTATATAATTATTTGATAATTATTATGACTAAACTTTTTAAACATTTGCACAATGTCAAAATCGAACTTATTTACGGTATTCATGGAGTAGGCCTCTATAGAGTACTCCGGGTCAACGCTTAGCTTATACAAAAGCACGTCGGTATGGTTTTGTTCTGTATGGTGGTATGCTGCGTAGTTATGGTTGTAATAACAATAGGTCTGAGTGTTTATATATATATATAT